AATACTTTTTTTCTATTTTGTACTTCCCCACCGATGCCCTTTGGAAAACTGATCCAACGAAAGCAAAAAGCAAGTGATTTATTGGGCTATCCTCATTAATCTTGCTCGCGCTTGACTGCATGTTTGTGCACTGATAAGAACCCCATCCCTTTTGTCACTTTGCAGCTGCCATGGAAGTTAATGGAGACGTGAACAGGGAGTAGCCGCCTGAACACACAGGTGAATTGCTTTTCTTCCGACGCCTTGCCTCTACTGAGCTCTGCTCCTCTGCTGCACATTTAAGTCTAGGACAGGTGGTAATTTGGTGAAGGAATCAAGCTGACATGCTAATAATGTTCCATGAGGGAGAGAAAATCACAGGTGATGTGAGTGACAGGTTTAATGGTTGAGGTTTGCTGCACGCCATGCCCTCAATAACTTGAAATAGAACGTGGCGGTGCAGAATAATCCATGAAATGTGTTTTCATACGTCACTTGTGAAGCGAGTCACTTCTAAAAAGCTAGGATCTCCGCTGATTATAATGAATGGAATTTGAATTCATATTCTTGCATTATTTACCGACAGTTTCTCTCATCACCATCTGGTCTGGTGGTGCCATGACATTTAAGTAACAGCTGCTTGGTAGGCATTTATTTGAAGCCGATCCATGCCCCGAGGATTAACAGAGATGAATGAAGGTACACTGATATAGCTTTATTCTTCTCACAGTGTTTTTGCTGTGTTCATCTTACCGTGGCACAATTCCAGGTCTTTGTGGGGTCTAGCGGCAACACTTGACCGAGGCAAGCAAGTGCAGCCCAAGTAATGAGTGGGAAAGAATAGAATAAAAAGATGGGAGAGAAAGGTGTGACTTGCCAATGTTAACATTAAACAATAAGTACGATATCTTCTTTTACCTACAAGGGCAGATACCCACTCTGGTGCACTAAACGTGTGCACGATCCATGTGCCAGGACTGGTGGGTGACAACATCACATAATCTAATCCAAGAGAGAGTTATTGATCTGAACAGTCAGTATGAAACACAGAGTTTGTGTCTTATGAGGCTGCTTCACATGGATCACTGCCAGAGCACTGATCAATTCTAATGCTATGAGGGATTTTATTTTGGAGTGCGGTCAAAAGTGCAGGTTCAGCTACAACTATTGTTGCCTTTAAAATGGTTACAAAAGATTTGTATAAGATTTTATTCCCTGATCTGCCACTGCTATTTTATTTTACATTAACATTTGTTTAAATGACAGTAATTTTACAACAACAAACCCACTGAAAGTCATGACCTGACTCTAGTTTTACTTCAGTTCTATTGAGCAATTAAGTGTCATTAAGCTTATTATCTCCACCAAGGACATTAGGCTTTCACCCATGTCTGTTTGGGTATTTGTCAACAGGATTACACGAAAAGTAATGAGCCGATGTGCAGCAAACTTGGTGAAAGGATGGGAAATAGGCCAGAGAAGAATTTGCTAAATGTTGGTGTGAATTCAATAAAAGGGATCTGATACATTAGTTTTTTTTTATCACTTTACGTGACATTGTATTTTTAGACAATTTATGCCTTTGACCAGTGTTTTTTAGTGAAGACAGTCTCTGAGTAACTGAATTTTTTGGTGATCTGCCCCTTCTGTGTTTCAAGACATGCAGTTTAACTTACAGATAGGTGGCACTGAATCTCTCTGATTTGACTTTGTTTCCGATAACCATCAACGGCAAATTATTCCTGCCTCTAAACGATAGCGCCACAGGAGTCCAGGCTGCTTTTTAACAGTAACGCAGACAAATGATTTGCAGCTGAGGCCTAAATTACTCTTCTACTCCCCCTGAAACACTACTTCTGACAAGAAGACATTCATCACATCACTAAATGGCTTCTGTGTTTCTGCTGCAGTGAATTACATAAACTAAAGATCGATGATGATCATGAAACCCCACAATAACTCTCTGAGTCTCTGACCCAGAAAGGAGCTTGAAATAATAATGGGCATATGCAGGATTCAAGAAATGACACTTTTATCGTCACACCACTTAAAACACAATCATACTATCGAGGCGAAAGCAGCTGATGTCATGTCAGAGACTCTCTTGCCTTAAATTAAAGCCTCTCTCCCCGGATGATGGACAGCTGTGATGGCGTTAATGCTTTGCTTGCCTATAATGTCTCGGGCCGGGGGAGAGGACGACACACCGCAGAGAGGTCTGAGGACGGAAGATGGGAAGAAGGATTTCTCCCATGATCCTCTCTCATTCCTCCTCGTCTTCTTCAGAGGGCATTCATCACCCTTAGCGTTCATTAACATGAATCAGTGCTTGATAGGCAGCCGTGGGCCAGCAGTCATCTGTAGCTCAAACCACAGGCACATCTCCTCGCTGGGTGAATATGAGCGCGTGGTGGAGGGATGTGGATGTGATAAAGGAAGGAGGATAAGACAGTAGAAACTAAAAATAATAAACTTTGTGGGGAAATGGCATCAATTCATAAACAAAAGATCTCAGAACAGTTAATATAAGTTTGTTAGTGAACAGATATTTATAGATAAGTGGACTTTTCACAATGTTAAAGAAATAGATTCCTGGATTTGCCCCTTTAACCAGATCTGCGGACCCATTAGTCCCCTAAATATGCCTGATTTCTTTCATCGAGATCCAGAGAAATTCACACAAAAAAAAGGTAAAAGAAAATGAAAATAAATTCCTGAATCTGACTTAATCGAATCAGCTCTAAAAGGTAATATATTCTTCCTTGGCCTATAGCCCACCCCTCCACCAAGTTTCAAGAAAATCCGTTCTGTAGTTTTGGTGTAATCCTGCTAAAGGTCAAACAAACAGCAGTGAAAACAAGTGGGTAACTAATCCTTTCAGTAAGTGCCATGGAAAGCAATGACAGTGCGACTCTGGGCCCGCACGCACAACAGTGCTTTTGGAGAGTGTAACAGTTTGGACATTTTAAAAGGATGTAATGTTGAGGGGGTGGTACAAAACCCAGTCATGTAACTACAGAGAGTCAAAGGTGTAGCCCTCAGGCCAGAGAGCAGACCGAACTCCTGAGGGACAGAACAAACCCAACAGTAAAACTCAACAAGCTGAATACACATACTCATATCGAGTAGAGACTGTGTTTATACCGTCTGGTATTCCTATTGGAACACGTATATACTGCCAACAGTGAAAGCTCAACCACGGAGACAATGCAAGGACTGTGGATCAATTGATGTTGAGACTTCTTTATAAAACAGAAGCTGAAGCATTGGACCATGTAGAGAAAAGACGAGCTGGAAGGTCTGTAGCTGCACCGTCTCATTAGGAAACTTCTGTTTAAGATGACTGATCACGCGTTACTCATCCTCCCTTCTCTTTCTGCTTGCACAACACATCCACATCTGTCTCCTCTGCTTCTGCTCATCCTTCCTTCCTTCCCTTTCTCCTTGAGCTGTTGATAACACCTGGAGCTAAAGAGTCACCTTTCCCCACTTAAATGATTTCTCAGGGTAGATCACCATATTTCTCTGGCGGAGGCTGCTGATGAATAACCTCTTCTTCCCCTAACAGCCCCTTTGCTGCACAGAAAGAGACATTTTATCTGATGACCAGCATCAATTAAAGCCGTTGAGAGTTGCCACCCCGTCTGCTGCAGAGTACATTTACTACACAGTGGGAAACAGCAGGTATGATGACAAAGTGACACCAGCTGGCTCGAACTTCAGTCCCTCAGACAGCTGTGATACTATGAAGGGTGGTAATGGAGGAGATAGACATCGAAGTGAGCGGGGAAAAAAAGGTTCGCACCGAACCAGGCCTTTAATCTGACCGACAGAAGGCTATGTTGACCCAGGAATGCTGCAAAGTTGTTATTTTCTAGCGAAACACCTTGTTGTGTCACTTTTGCATTGAATTTCTATTAATTTTATTAAGCTAAGTCAATACAGGGAATATGTCTGGACAGCCAGGATAAGATTGTGCTTTGATTTTTAAACTTCTGTGCAGGACTAAATATCTTTTTTAACAAGCATCTCTCATGTTGAGATTCTGTTTATGAAGCTGTGTATCCAGTCCATCTGCCCCTGTAGGCAATACAATTATCTGGTCTTTCACAGAAAATGGTTTCCTCAGCGCTCAGGTAATTCTTCCCAGGTTCATCCTTCATCATCTAATCAGTTTACACTGAAAACCTCAGCTTCAGTTTAATAAATGTAAAGGTATAAACGGACCTCTGGGCAAGAAGGAACAGAGGAGTTACAGCCTCAGGGAGGTCGTGTTTAACAATTCAACTCTCTAACACCATCTAAGTGCTAAATACTGACAATTGTTTTTTTGCTGCTGGTCCTGACAGCCAATATTTGAGAAACAGCCATGCAAAGCTACTTAATATGATGTATTTGTCCCTGTTTGTTTGTAGGCATTAGAGTGCAGTGGAGAGAAGAAGAGAGTAATAAAGAAAAGCAGTGGAGGTCTGCCATGATGAATGGACAGTGCAATAGTCCCTCGGGTCAAAAGAAAAAAAAAGTTTGGACTAAAAGCTGAACTGTGCTATCACACACTAAATCTCTTGAAACTCTGCTCCTATTTGATTCCCTTGTTGTTCTCTTCCCCTTTTTCCCGTTGTACTCAATAAAGCCTGTTGGACTGGTTTCAATCAAGATGTGGGTTAAATAATGACACAGACGTATCACAAAGCTGCATCATCCAGTCATTCAATCATCAGTAATGAATGACATACAGCAGATGCTACTGAGCCTGTGACAACATGTCTGGTAGTGATCTAACCGCAGCCTTTCAATCTATAAAATCAATCTGATGGGAACAACTCTGACCTATAAAGTCAAGCTTGACAACTGGAAAATGTCGGTTCATGGAAAAGTATGAAAAAGAAGTGATGGAATGAAACTGGAGGTTGTTCGCTCTTACGCAAAATCAAACAGAGGCTTCTTTTTAAAGCAACTCTGCAGTTACTGAATACAGATCCACAAATAAACAAGAGCCAGCCAACAAAAGAGCAACCCACCTGTATGTTGTCGAAGGATGTCTTGTTGGTGACGTCATACAACAGAAGGAGAGCTGGAAGAAACAGAGAAAAGAGCATCACTTTGAAAATTCCTGTCCATAAATCAGATCATAATGTAAGACAGTTTGGTGGATAGAAATGTGTGCAACTGCTTAATGTAATCTTTAACTTAATCATTGACTGCTGTCTCAATTTCCCTTCAAATTAAATTACGAGAGTTCATTTCGCTCCGAGCACCAGGATGATTCGTTTGAAAATTACATTCCTGTTTGACAATTTGGGAAGAACTCAGACAGACCAGAGTCAAGACTTAAGCTCTTTGACTAACATCGGTCTCAAGGATACATTTGAGTACTGGTTTGATTTTGCCCCACTGCACTTTACTGTTAAAATGCAGTAACGACTCTGCAGGTCTGACTCTGTGAATCAGTCCCTTCTGAGAGGGAGATGTAAACTTCAGAGCCGCAGCACGTTGATGTGAAGTGACTGTAGCCACAGTCTTTCTGCCACCCCCTCTTGCATTTAAAAAAAAAACATGGGACATAGACCAAACAAAAAAGTCAAAGCACACGTCAAAAAAACGTATAAAAGTAAAACATGGTGCTACTGAGGCTCCATCCCCCGATTGCTACGGATTCCAAATGCAAAAGATGGCAGCGTTTGTATCCAGATATTTTGGCTTCATTCCTGGATAGTAGAAGTAGGTGGAGACGCAGCATCCATCTTTACGCACAGTCTATAAACATATGAATGTAAAATTGGTGGAGTTTCCTTTTGTGGTGTTTGCACCTCGGAAATTTATTGTGACAAACTTCCATGGTTACTGTGGTAACTTCAACATAGAGCTCAAGACTTTTTATAGACTTCCAACTTCTCTTGTTGTTCACACTGATGTTTGTTAAACAGAATAAAAATACTGGAATATACAAGCATTGTGAAATACTGAAAAGTGACCCAAGTAATTAATGTAAAACACCACATTTAACTCGCTTATACAACCAATGCGATAATCTGATGTGCCAAAGCCATAAACATACTGTAGTATTTAATGATGTGCATATGTGTTTTGTAGGTGTTACATTTTACAACATGAATGAGCATGAAAAGAGTGAAAGGACCTTTTGAACTGCACAGATGCCTCAGTTCTTGTCCTTTTGTTTCTGTGTGAGGGGCAGTGCAGGTATTAAAGAGGCAGTGAGAAGCTGTGCAGCTGAAAAAGAGGCAGCCCAGTAGGGATGAGCATGATTCAGACCGACAGCTGTGTAATAAAGCTGAGCTCTGCTATACTTGTCCTGGAGGTGGTTCTCACTCTTCTGCTATTTCTCATCACTCCACGGTTAAAGTCAGGACACATGAAATTCTACACTGCCGCAGGATCGTTTGTTGGGAGTGTCCATGTGCAGATTCATGCAAAAAATAAACCGAATAAGTGATTTGTAATGCATGTACGATGTTCAAACAATGGATGCAATCAAGAAATCTCATGATACGCAAGATTTACTGGCAAATGGAACGGTGAAATTGAGGTTTGGATTAGGAAATAAACAGAGATTGCGAGTTCAGGGCAGAGAGAGAGTTGATGGGAAAAGTAAGAGCAGCAGTGGGAATAAAAGCGTTGCAACAACAAAAGAGGAAAGTTAAATTGGTGAGACACTTTAAAAGGTGAAAACAAGGACAACCATGAATGGAAAAGAGAGCACAACAAAGATGGAGGTATAGCAGAGGGAATTGGAGAAACATTTGTGATGAATACTTGAGAGTGCGTCTCTTTCCCCCCCAATAGCTCATTCAAATGAGAGTATTAATATTGCAGTTTTTCTTGTCTTATGGTCCACTGTGTGTACTTTACAGTACAATTCACATTCAGCAATTCATGCAGACTTTCATCTATATGAAGCTCTTGGCAGCACAGCCATCAGGAGCAATTTGTAGTTCATCTTGCCGAAGGACACTTTTTAAAAATTATTTACACATGGTTTCTTAGGCATTGCAAGATAAAGCATTTGTTTTAGTACATTTTAAATGATTTCCCAGGGAATAATTCATGGATCTTGATGAAAAAAAAAAATCTGACTGATACTGCATCTATAAACGTGTGCAATTTGGTCTTAGACTTTACTAAAAAGGCCGACCATAATTTAATCGGCCTCAATTAGAAACAATTGTTTAAAGAGAACTGATGAAGCATTAATCATGATCAAATTGTTTAATTGAGGACATTGCATGCTTTTGTTCAGTTGGAGATTGTTGTTTTATCCAACAATCTCTCTGAGTGAACCTGTAATTTACATTTACTTTGTGCTTTTCCTGATAAAATGTGCTGTATATTGCCAAGTTTTCTTTTCCCTACATGCTTAAAACTGGTTTTCTCCTCCATTTTATCACATGATACTCAAATAAGCTTGAATCAAGAGAAGAATCCTGAATTTCACAAAAACAAGCCTTGAAATATCTGATGATATCCCCCCCGCCCCAAGAAAGTTATTGTAATAACTCCCCTCTATGCATGAGTGTGTTTGAAGGTTGTATGCAAAAGAGTTTAAGGTCATTAAAGCACTTCTGTCAGGCTTCTCTAAACTGAACGACCTCCAAATCCTTTATTGCACCATAATGTCACTGTCAGCCTGAAATATTCATTTTTTTTGCACATAAATATAACAGCAATAAAACATTTACAATAACTCACAGCTGGTCTAAGTCTTCTCGGGACCCTAATTTGATTTGGGGCTTTTGGCATATAACAGTTTCAGCTTCCGTCCTCGTTCAATGATCATCATTTATTATCAAAATCTTTAGACGTTGCCAGACTTGGCTATTAACAAAGCACCGTTCACTAGGTTTGGTAACGGTACCAAAAGGCTGCAGGACTCTGGTATAGGAATAAAAGACAAAAATAAAGTAATTAAACATTACAGAACAGATGATTGCAGGGAGGCAGGTAACAGAGACGACAGACTGGGACCTTATTACATATTACCAGTCTGAAACTAATTTTTCTGGTTATTCAGACACCTGAAGAACTCGCAGTCTGGCTCCACATGAGGTTATCGGCGCAACATGGCAGCATTCATATCTGGTCGTCCGTCTTACAGTCTGTGGGGATGATCAGAGATGAAAGATACTGGCGAGAGTCAGTAACTAAGTTTCCATCCAAATTTAGCACAAATTGTTAATGAAGCTCCAGATGTTTGGCAAAGTAAAATACTAATTGATTATATATAAGCCAGTCCCACTATAATCATATCAAGAGTTGGGTGCATTGAGTCAAATTGTTTGTTCACCACTTTGGTGCAATTGAACCATTGCAGGTCCCTGAGTGAACCAGTGCTTTTCCTCTTGGTTACATCACAATTAAAATGTACCCTGTGGAAGTTTGTAGTACACTAGTAGTGCTGTGGAGCAATGTTTTTTTTACAAGTGGGTACCTGTTATTTTTTTAAGTACAGTCTATAATTTCGTGCATGTGGACATCGTGAGTTACATCATACCACTGGTGTCATGCTGGTCTGCTGATTGACAGTTGGGGGCAGTAACGCACTAAAAAGAAACACAATGTGCCAACAAAAGCAGTGGAGAAAAAGACTGTCAAACCAAATGAATGGAACTATGGAACTTCTTTGTTTACAAGAAATCTTACAAGGACGACTCTAATTGGAATTGATCGATGACCTTATCACATCGTGGTAATTTCATTATAAACGAAATGTGACGGATCATTAAAATGATTACTTATTGGACCTTTAATCATACAGCTTGGGCGCATCATTTTCAAATTGTAAAGAATAATGAGAACCATTATCAGTGGCTCATATTTTCTACCCACTGCCACACAACGCATTCAAAGAGAGTCACTTCGATGAGACGGATCTAAACAGTGGAAAAAAGACTGCTTGTACTCTATGATGAGTAAACAGCTGGGAAACAGGAAGGAAAAGAATATGCTTTACACACTGAAACTTATGTTCTCAGAGGGTTCGGGAGGCTTGTGACTGATGTTCAATAGTGAAAACAGTATGAAAGTAAAACAGTGAAATATTAAATATGAATATGAAACATCTGCAGTTTTGTACAAGGCGTCAAAAGCTCACTGACAAACAGATGTTTGGAGTAAATTACAATCAGCAACTTTTACGAAAAGGCATTCCACAAGTTTTCATAGTGTTAACAAGGACAGCCGATAAAGTTGCTTGTTCAGATCCTCTCCAGTCAAACCAGAGGCTGTTTCTACTTCTTTTCTCACCTCAGCACTTAGAACAGAGCGGTGATACGAGGATCAACATTTAAAAAGGTCACATCTCTGATATTTATGATATAGGACACCCTTGATAGATATAGTTCTAGACATAGAGCAACAGGCTGAACTCCTGTGTTATACTTCCCTTTTTTTTCAGTGGAAAAGTAAAAGTTTAAGTCTATACTTCATCGATGTGGTTTTCAGAAGGTCTCCTAAAACTCCTCTGAGGTCCCCAACCTAAGAGAGCTGCAGATAAATCCTGCTCTAATCTCGCAGACTGATTGTCAAACCCTGACATGCATAATGAGGATAATACAGAGACACAGATTATTTACACTCTCTAAATCATGCATTTAGTAGGTCACAGTCACACACACACACACACAGACGCACTCACACACAGACAGACACACAAACCTATTCCTGTGTAATTTGCATAAACTTCCCAGACTGCCTGGAGATTAAAAGTCAAACCAGGTTATGCATTGTCCACACGCATGAGGTGACAAAATGACAAACACACGCTGCAACACTGTGTGAATATCAAGAGGCGAAAAGAGAAGAGCCACCATTTCCCCCCTCGGAGAAAAGCTGTACCGCTCTTTAAAGGTACTTAAAAGTATTTCTGGTGATGTGATCACTCTCACATTATCGTTGACATGCATGTTTTAATTGGCCACCTCAATTTTTAAACCCACCAAGATCATGACAAAAAGTAAAAGATGACCAAATAGAGCATACTGTGCTTTTTACTGCTCAAGGTTTTGTGCATCATAAAAACTGCTTTTGGACATTTGATCCAAGCTATTTCCGAAATAAAAACCTCTTGACTGTCAGCTCTGTAAAGATCTCTCTCTCTAAATGGAGCTCTATAATGACATCATAAAGAAACTAGAATTACTGCCCTGCTTTGCTATTTGATACAGTTTCAGTCGACACACATTTACTCCAGACATATGAGGTCAGTTATTGTTTGTGTGAAACTGGTCTAACAAGAATTTCACTCAAGCCAAAAAAATAAGGTTTTCTGAAGCCACAGTGACTTTTGACCTTCGACCACCAAAAACGAGTCAGTTCACCTTTCAGGCCAAGTGAACGTTTCTACTAAATTTGAAAAAAGGCCCTCAAGGTGTCTGAGATGTTTTATTCCCTGGACCAAAATCTAATCAGTTCATCCATGAGTCCACCTGAGCGTTTGTATCAAATCTGAAATTCAGTCAAAGTTATTGAGATATCGTGTTGATCATTAAATGGTGACATGAATCCTAAGGTTGTTGTCTTTTCATCACAGGAGAGATGAAAAGACAACTTCATCGACTGATAGTATTGCACAGTGGAAGAAAAACTATCTCACCTACACCGCAACACTAACACGGCTGTGGATTATACATGGAGTAGAACTCTTTTTTATGCTTTACTGCAGAGCAAAGCAAACAAAATGACCTAAAACACATTTTCCCTATGTCTACAATAAAAATCACTGCACACACATCAAAACAGTACAATCTAGTTGAATGCATTAGATGGTAAAAACACACTAACTTGTAACTCTAAAGCCGTGAGGTCATAATCTTCATATCATGAGACTGGCCTAGAGTGGCACGTTATGAGCTTCTTTAGGCTCATTTCCTTTCACACAAAATCACAAAAGTGTATTCTTGTGTATAAGTGGGAGTGTCTCACCGTGGGCGTCGCGGTAGTAGGCATGAGTGACACTGCGGAAGCGCTCCTGTCCGGCGGTGTCCCATATCTGCAGAGAGTGAAAGAGGAAGGCAATCACTGCAGCGACGTTTCTATCTTTTTAATAACTCTCCTGTTTCTTCTGTGTCTGCCGTTGCTTGCTGTGAAACAGCCAATTCAATCAACTCCTGTGATTCTGGATAAGTCTAGAAGATGGAAAATAGTCCACTGCCTTATGAAGTCTGCACTGGTGAATATTCTGGGGTGTAAAAATGAACCTTTCGGTCACTTGGAGGCAGCAACGCAAGCACAACACCGATATGCATCACGGAGCGCTTGTTATCTGTGAAAATGGTTGCTCATGTATACATCTGGCTGACAAGTTTTATTATCCACCGGTGTGAAGACTTAACGCTCTGTTTTGGTCTCCACCATGTCCTAATGGAAAGAAGCAGGTATTAAGCTGAGCAGAGATGCAGGGTTGTTTCATATAACACATTCAAATCTGATATATTGTTATATAATTTGAGATTTGAGGTCACACCTTATATTACATACAGTCAATACAGTGTAGAATTTGTCCCATCGTCCAACAGCAGCAGAATAAGGCTAATTAAATTCTGCTCTTCCTCATCAGGCAACACTGTTTCTGAATGCAGTTTGGCTCCAGTGCCAATTACATGTTCCCCCATCCTTGGAGCAGACCTTTACAGGCTGACAGCAGCCCTCATTTGGTTTATGTATAAACTACGTTTCCTGGATTTTTTCCTGGCTTGTCACCTGCTGGGTCATTATCATTCCCTTTGCATGCCTAACCAATTTACTCTCACTCTCTCTTCCTCCTCGCTCTCTGTGACATGTCTGTTTGGATGCTGGCTCTGCCTCCTCGCTGCACCCTGGGGCAACCGTCCTCCCAGGATCCATGTGGCAGTAATGAAGGATGGCAATTACACGAGGAAAAATAACTCTACGCTGTCTCTGTTTGGAGGCTACAGGGTGCTCTGGGAACGGCTAAGCCAATTAACCCCAAATAGATTAATCACAGAGCAAAAGTCCTTTCCACCAGCCTCTGTCAACCCCTAATTAAGATCATTGTGTAGCATTCATATAATTACTAGCCGTGATTGAATATCAAACAAACAACACTGCAGAGTTGTTCCATCTATGGGCGTCAGTTCTCACAGTTGTGAATGAAGAGTGTCGCACTGTTTTACTTCGTTATACGGCATAAGCATTACAGCTTAATGCAAAAAGCTAAACATATATTGGCCCCCAAGGACAGAGCACAAGCAAAAGAGAAAGCACGGACATTAAGGGAAATGTGCTCGGAATCCAGAATGCAGCAAAGAAACCCATACAAATGGGGAAAACACAGTACCCTGGGACCCCGGGGTGATGGTGGGCCTGACTAAGAGAAACTGCAACATTATACAGCTCTGAAGGGAAAGAGAAAGTATCCGTTTGGATCTAAATAATGTCTGGTTGTCAGGGTTTTGAGGGTCTGCCTGCTGGGGGGACACCAGGGGTCGTCTCAGGGAAGCATTTTCCCCTTTTTACATGTATGCACTTCTAGATTTGCAGAACTTAAACATACTTATGTGTTTTGTTCTTAAAACTCATAATAACTGGTTTTATCATCTGTGCTGTTTATTAGGAGACAGTAAATACTCATTCTTATTTGGCTGACACCTTTTATTTGACATCAATTATAGACATTTTGCTTGTTTTGAAATGATTGTCAGGATGAAATAAAACTCACCTGGAGCTTCACCTTGACTCCGTCGATGTTCAGGACTTTATTCTAGGAGAGAAAGGAAGATATTATAAATGACAGAGCCAAAATTCAGGCACTTTTCCAACCAGGAATAATGTTTTCCGTGTACGGAAGAAACAAGCTTGGCTGGGTGTGTGTGTTTTTGTGCAAACCTGTCTGAAAACTCTCCTTTCTCCTCTCTATCAATATTGCATGGCTCCACCTGACCCAGCCTCTTTTGATGAGGCCTCGCTGGTTTCCTCCAGAGGTTTAACCCGCCCTGCTCTCCCTGTCTCAGGCTCTGTACCTTCATTCTTGAGGAGACATTGATCGGAGCTTCGATCTGCTCCACCACACAGCAGAGTGAAGCTCAGCCAAACAGATGTGCAGTTTGTCAGGTCAGAAGATCACTCTGTCTGGAGAGCTGAGTGGACAAAGGTTAAACAACCTGCCATCTCATTAACTTCAGTCTAAATGATGACTGGACTTTAAGTTAAAAATATCTGGACTGTGGAGAGGAGCCCTTCACCTCATTGATCCAACATCATTCATCACAGTGGTGATCGACACGATTAATCTGTATCTTGATTAACCCATTCATGGTATTTATTCAATCATAAAACCATTCTTCTTCAAATTTCTCTGAGCCAAATTATGGCAACTTCAAACTCGTTGATTCAGCAAAATCCTCACTTTTGAAAATCATTAGTATTTTGCTTGAACAGAAATATTTGAACAATCTAATCACATGATCTAAAGCGTATTGAGCAAGAGAGTTTAGGGCAAATGCAAACACACTTTTGTTTTATGTCAGAAAAAAGTGCACATGGTTCAAAAGGGTTGTACTTAGTCTTTTAATTAATCCTTGCTGTGTTTTGGGAATAAGAAGCAATAAACCAATCAGAGTGAAATCTCCCATTACCTCTAAAACCAAGTGCTCTTGCACACTGGCCAAGTGCGATTGCCATTGCAGATTTGCAGGTAGTAAGAAAGATCGGCTTTGCAGAGGAAATGATGCTGCTTGTGCACAAGGGGAAAGTTTGCAAGTTGACCAAAAAGCAACAGCAGGATTTTACCAAAGCTTCCTGAGGTACAGCAGGTGTGAGAGGAGGCAAGTTTTAGCAAATCCACTCAATAGAGGTGATTTAGTCTGGACCCCTGCAGGTGGTGCAACAGAATGGGTATATTATAAGGATGGATGACACATCACTTTCTCCCAGTGAATCTAATGAAGTCACCAGCCGATACAAATGCTCAACCAATCGCGAGTCACTCTCATTCGTTTTTTTATTTAGCATCAAACAACTTAAACTGTAAAAATCCCTGTACACCAGGCAGTTACAGAGGACAGCCAGCTCCATTACAAATGATGACTTGCATCCTCTGCATCGGGAATTTCAGCTTCTACCATCTGGTCAAAGTTTTACAGTCCCAAGGAAAACAAAACGCTATAGAAATAGTTTTGTTCCAGCTGCAATTGTTCACTTGAACAGGTTATAGCCATATTCGCACATTTGTCCTTATCCAATTTTCTATTGATCGCAAAGCATTTTAGCACTTTTTGTCATGGTTTTTGTCTTGTCTTCTGTCAATGTGTTATAATTTTGATCTGTGTTTTGGATGGATGCCTTCTCATTTCTTTTTGCTGCAAAACAAATCTACCTACGGGTTTAAAATAAAGTAACCTAACCTAACCTAAATAAAAACCATTGAACAAACATCAGTGTGATAAGAAAAGTTTAAAATGCCAAAAAACATCTTTGAGAAAACTTTGATAAGTACTTTAGTCCATGTCCTATCCACTTACATGGAAGAGGCAGGATGTATCACCAGGCTTTACTTTTGGAGTGCAATCATATTGTTAATTTTTTTATGCAGTCTACAGGTACTACGGTGGTACATGCTCAAGCTAGCATTGCTAAATCGATTGTTGAAATAATTCCTGATATACTTACGGGTTAATAAACTATATAAATGTCTCTAACAGACGACTGTGCATATTGATTATGTGCAATATGAAGCAGAGCAGCTTTAAGTGTCTCTTGTACACTCTCATTCTCATCAATACATTTATTTCACCACATGAATTCCCCATCTTAAGTCTCTGCTGTTAAAAAGAAGAGGTCAAGACGTTCCTCAGTGACTCACACACCAGCCTCCCAATACGACGGTGTGGATTACCTCACCTGGTGCCACGGCAACGGTCAAAGCCTCCCTCTCCACCATCATCCCCTCTGAGCTGTTCCTGAAAGCCACGGCTGACCTTCTACTGCTCTGAGCCAGAGACACAGGAGATATTCAACCCCGGCAAGATGCTAATCTTCCCTCAGAGCACCCGAGAAAAAAAAAAAATAGATGCAGTCTTTGTTGACGTGTTCGGTTGATTTGCATCCTCACGAGTCACACAGGAGGAAACTCATAAATATTCACAGACAAGTGAAGCTGTACACTGTGTGTCTATATGTGTGATAGGAATCAAGAGTCTCAAAAGACTTCCTCCATGTTCTTGTTATCGCTAAAAACCACCATGCTGAGGATTTTGTGGTTAGTCAGGGTTGATTACACCTATAATTATGCTGGAAATATTTGAAACCAGACAGAACAGGGCATAACGACGCAGATTGAATAATCTCAGAGAGTGAGGACTGAGCAGGATTAATAAAGCATCTCAGCAGCTTATACAGAGAACGAGTCCACTGTGGAAGACGGGGAATTAAGGTACTGTAGATTAAAGACTGCCAATCACACTTCCAGCAACACTTTACTTTCTCCACTTTATTTTTCAAACCCCTCTCAAGCTTCAGCGTCTTTCAAGGGGACACCGCTCATACTCTGTGATCTGCTTACAATTAACAAGAAGCTTGTACCACTCTCAGGTCAGTTTAATTCCCCGAGCTGCAGCAGAAAACATCTTCAAATACATACTGCTCTACTTAGCAGCCAGACACAGGAAGCTGGCTATCTAATGCATATGTTTGAGTGAGTGAGGAGATACAGTCGGCACAGGAACAGCACTTCTCATGGGATCATGAATCAAAAAAGGCACTTGGAGCTCTCAGAGCAGGTGTCAGCCATCCATCAGATATACCACTTATCATTTGAGGGTCATGGGTGCAGCCAATCCAAGCAGATATTAAATAGAGAGGCGGGGCTACACCCTGGATGGACAGGGTTGACATGCAGAGGCAACAACCACTCAGGCTCACATTCACACCTACGGGAAGTTTAGAGTTGCCAATTAACCAAAAACCAACACTGAGAACATGCAAACTCACAGAAAGGATCTTCTTGATATGTTGTGACGTCTGTAGCGTGAGCCAATGCAACATTGAAAGACTGAGAGACAACGAACAGGAGCACTCTGGCCCCAAAATAGACGCAAATGAAGCATTGTCGTGATCAACAATGCTGCTTAAGCTAATGAATCCCAGACGCCACTGCTAAGTATTGAACTCATCGCGTGTCCAAATTGCACCGAATTCGACACCGCACGTAACAATACACAGCAAGTATGATGCTAAGAAGATGAACGGTTCTCGAGATACGCGATTCACACACAGACAGACAAACAATTGGGGATTATGGGATGAAAGATTGAGTTTCTCAATGTCTCCTTTTGTTCTGAAGGAATCAACACATGTCAGAAATCAAAGCAGTTCAGAAAAAAAAACAAAGTACCGAGACATAAAGGAGAGGCAGAGCTCTCTGCTCCGCTGTCGGCCCAACTTCCAGCTGTCAAGTTTTCGATGTCATGCTGACACAGACATATGCACACACTCTCAAATACTGGATCTAAAACATTCTGCCACCCCAACCTCTCCATCTGCTGCAGAGAGGCACACGTTTCAGCTGCTGCTCCTCAATGAAGTTGATAGTGGAAACAGCTCGTCCAATATCAATGAATCAATCTCCCCTCCTCTTCCTCACTTGTCTTACACCATAACACACCTCAAGTTAAAGCCTTTCAGCCGTTTCTGTGTTTTACAGGAAGCCCTTGTTTTAGTTTTGGAGAAATAACTACTGCTATGGGTAAAATGCCAGCTTAGAACCTATGGTCAGCCTATAATTATCTGTTAGTATTTGTTGAGTTACTTTTGTTATGATCAGTATGTGTGAAGTGCGACCTGGCATGTATAACACCCCCCACCTCCATTATCTAAGAGGCTAATAACAGATATTTCCCCCTCTCCTCGATGCAGTCGGCTCAGCATTTTCTACAAAAACATTCAAATTAAATAGCGCTGCATATTCTCGCACAATAAATCACATATACACCAGACACACAAAGGAGTTCATTCATTCATTAAACGATTACACTTCCTGAGCCGGCACAGTTGGCAGAGATTGGGCAACATTTCACGTGGTCACTGTGATTTTGGCTTCTGATTTCTACGTCAGCTCTGACTGACAAAAGGTATCTCTCCTCCAAAACACGTGTGACTAAGAAGTCAGTGTAATAGTAGGGACCTTCCTATTACAGACTGTACCTCACTCGGGAAACAAAGATTAATTGAAAGAGCTGTGGACCTCTGGGCTCCTTCATCAACAATTCAGGCTTGCTCATCTATTTCTACGGCTCAGAGGCACTGGCAGAGCGAGAGTGCTGCTGCAGAAGATCACAGCAAATAAAGGAAGAAATAAAATAAATATGGATGAATAAAATTGATCATCTGGGACCACAAGGCATTGGTTAACAGGGAAACTTGGTTACTGCCAGGGACTCTCTACTTCTTTTACGGAATTGTGTTGTAAAGCCTTAAAATGTGGCTTCCAATTGGATGTAAACATGACTAAAGTGGTTAACTTTGCTCTTTTTATTTCAGCCCATGTTTCAGATTAAAGCTCCTTCTTGGAAAAAGCCTCTTCTATGTATTTTTGATCTATCACCTGTAACCCGCAGCAACACACTCACACCAACGCAGGCACTATTTTCTGATGCTGTATCACAAAGCCTTGACCTCTCTGGAGCTCTTTCCCCAGGCTCCTCTCACACGCTGGTCTGCTACAAATCAAAATGGCAATGCGACGGTATGGCTGTTGGCTGATGT